AGAGTCACCAGCTTTGTCCCTACAGTGTCTGTGTCCTGTACCGTGAGGCACCTCAGCTGCTCAGGGCTGGGGACACTGCACAGTCTGCCCTTGGGTGGCGGGGGGAATGGACCCAAAGAAGCCCACACGTGCCTTGGAAGTGGGTTTCCTTTTAGCAGTGGTGTGGTTTACAATATGATTTAATTTTATTGGGTTGGCCAAAAAGTTCATTTTCCCCATAATATGGCTCTAGTAGCACTGAGTTGTTTTTAACTTCATTTAAAACAATTTTGTTCGATTGTATTGTGACAGTTGTCATATCAGCATGCATTAAAAAATTATCAAACTTAGTGGATTTTTGTGTAGCCATTTTAATATTGAAGATGGAAGAAAATATGCAACATTTTTGGCATACTATGCTTTATTATCTCAAGAAAGGTAAAAATACAACTGAAATGCAGAATAAAAAACATTGGTGCAGTGTATAGAGAAAGAAGGTGCTGTGACTCATCAAATGTGTCAGAAGTGGTTTGTGAAGTTTTGTGTGGAGATTTCTCATTGGATGATGCTCCATGGTAGAGTAGACCAGTTGAAGTTGATAATGATCAATTTGAGACATTAATTGAGAACAACCAATGTTTTACACGAAGGAGATAGCTGACATACTCAAAATATCTAAATCAATAAAGTTATTGGTGAAAGTGAAAAATGTGTCTTTTATTTTATGGAGAAAACCAAATGGACTTTTTGGACAACCCAATATTAATCATGTCTTCCTCTCACAAACTAAAGCATGTTGACTTTTATGACCTTACATATGATTGTTTCACATTCTGTTTCTTCATTTATTTCTGGGAGAAACACTTTCATGCTCTATTATTTCCTGTATCTGTATTATAAAATAAAGCTGAAACCAAACAGTGGTTCAGAGATGTATTTTTCCATAAGATCTCTATCGGTTAATGATGCTGAAAAACAGTCCACTCCAAAACCTAGTGACTCAAAAAACTATTTACTCTTTCTCACAATTCTGTGGGTTGCCTTTCCACAGCTGGTTTTGCCTGGGGTTGTTCATGTGGCTATTCGGCTGGCATGGCAATGGGGCTAGAAGGTCCAACCTGGCCTGACTCCCATGGCTGGCTATTTGAGCTGGCTGCAGACCACGGCGCCCCACTTCCCTCCATGTGGCCTCATGTTCTCCAAACAGTAGACCGTTTTGTCCCATGCTAGGTCAGTACAGCATTCCACCAGGGCAAAAGCAGAAGCTGCAAAGGCTCCTGAACCCGAGGTTCCAGGATTCCCATGGCATCACTGCTGTCACACTCTATTTCTTGGTCAAAGCAAGACACAGGGCCAGCCTGTATTGAAGGGGTGGGAGAACACACTCCACCTTCAGGTGGGAGGAGTTACAAAATACTGTGGCCATGTTTCTGCAGTTTGCCATAGGATATTAGTTTCTTTGTTTCCATAAAGAGTAGATTATTAAAAGAGTATTGTGTAGGTGTTTTCAGCAAATCCCCTTTCCATCTTCATTCTATATGTCTGTCATCCTAAGTTTAAAAGAATTCATTTCAGATGCCAATGGTAGATTGTATAGCAAAATGATGGCTTAATAATTATAAAACAATAAGGAATCCTAAGCTTCTAAGATTTTTTAAAAAATTGGAATTCTACCTATAAATTTATCTTTTAAAACATTTTTATAAAAAACATACTGAGAAAATAATTGGTGGCAATACGACACATATACCTGAAACAACTGGAGAATAGACTGACACCAGAACATCTTGTTTCCAATGATTCCAAATGATTCTTCCAAAAAAGAACCAGGAAAAGAGGAACTCAGTTCTCTAGAGAAGAAGTAAGTAGTGACATTGAGAATATGTTCAGTACTACTACTAATAAAAGAAATGCAAATTAAAATAGAGTAAATTTTCATCACCAACTAAATAGTAAAATTAAAAATACAAAAATGCCCAGTATTGATGAGCTTGTATGGAAATAGGCATTCTCATCTATTCCCTAGAGGAGAATTTGGCATAGGTACCAAGAATTTTAAGTTTGTTTACATCTTCTGAATCCTAACTCTAGGAATTTATAAAACAATTATGACATAAATAAAAATATAGTGACATATGAGGATATTTGAAAAAGGAAAGAAACTAATGTATATGCCTCAAATATATTATATGTTCTGTTGATGAAAGGCTACAAGGTCATAAAAATTCTGCCACAGGGAAAAAAACTTTTAATAACATGAAAAATGGTCACTGGTTAACAAAGTTGAAGATACTACACTTACCATACACTACATTTCTCATTTTAATATACATGCTAATTCTCTCTTGTCCAGCCTCCCACTAGATTGACTTTCCTCTCTCGTCTGCCTTGCTGAGTTCCCTGATAGGCAGACACTCTAGACCATATATCTTGGGGCTTTCTTCATCAGAGGACTTCCAATTGGCTTCCCATTAGACTATTCCAGTTGATTCTGGCCCCTGGGAGGCACTGGCATAAGATTGGAGGGCTAGAGAAGAAAGCGATCTGTTTGATTTCTTCCCTTTTGGTTCCAGATCTGTGGTTCTCCAATACTATAGCACTTTCCAATTAGCTATATATTTTTTCTCCCTGCAGCCTTTGTCTAAAGGAGCTGGTAAGAGCTTCCCACTTTTGCTGGTCTTTGTGCACCTCACCATTTCTTGTGTAACCCCTAACCCTGCTCATGTTTCTGAAAGCGGTCTCTTCATTAAGTTGCTTTGTTTGAATTCATTTCTCTACCAATTCAGAATATTCTTTAACTTAAAATGTGTCTCTTATGAGAAACTATTTATAATTTGTAAGAGGTTATTTATTTTTCCAGAGGGAAAGACTTTTGAATGTTTGAGGTGAAATAGTATTGAATGGATGAACAGGATTTCAGAAGAAAAATTTTAAAGAATGTGGTATTAAAAATATTAATGGGAGTTTTTCTGGATGGTAATATTTATGGTTGACTTTTTTCTACATCAGATTTTTACATTTTTATTTTAAATAAGAATACATTACAGAAAGAAGACAAGATAAACATTTCTAAAAAGTGACTGTTTTAGATGAAATTGAGCTAATGGGTATTTTAGCATTATTTACAGCATACTAAAACTTTGTAGATGCCACTGAAGTTGAAAATGCATTATATCATTTGTTCTTCATAACTCTGAGAAGTGCATGGGAAACTATCACCGTCCCACCCTGATATACCATCAGAAAATGGACCTTAGAGAATGAAATGATTTGCCCAAATTCCACAGTTAGTAACAAGAATTGGAAGCTAGATCTTCTAAGTCATATTCAATTCTTTTCTACAATGAAGGTGTCGTGTAGACCCAAATTGTGGGATATACTATTATAAAAGATGATGATGCTTGAACTTTGAGGTTTTGCTTAAAAAATAATCATAAGTACTTACACGAAAGCATTTCCCCTCATAAAAATAAACATGCTTATTGGGAAATAGCAGCTATTGTGAATGCATTAGTAAAAACCTTATCCTTAATGACATTAATAGAGTATATTCATATTGTACTTTTTTTTGCTTTTTTGATGAGATAATATTTCTTCCTTAATACCTTGCATATATCTAATTAAGGATAACATTTACCAGAAAGATCCTCCAATTCTGTGTTCCTGTCCTTTTTCTTACTCTTTTTCACAATGTCCTATTATTTCCTTCACAGTATTTTATTTTATCTTTTCTCATCACCACCTGTGATTTACCTCACCCATTCCTGGATGTTTTATGGATCCGTGCATATCAGCTGTTTTGTCAGTCTCTGCACTATAGACACATAAAAAGGGAAGTCCGACTGAAACATACTAATAAACCGAAAGCAACTCACCCTCACCAAAGACAAAGTTTGCTCAAATCCCAAATATGACTTTTCTAAGGCAATTGGGGCCCTTCTCACCCTTTTTTTGGTATTAGCAATTCAAACCCTCATTTTGTATCGAAACCCCACAGTCTTTGTGCATGTAAAAGTCCCATTAAATTCAATGGTATCTTTGGGTATAAAATATATGGCATCTGACATTTACGTGTGATGTGAAAGCGGGGTCATGTCTGGAGCTTTATTTCAGTTGCTGAGGCTGCTTTATCTCTTTTGATTTCTGGATCATTTTGCTGTATTTCAATAGCCACTGTTGTGGCTGTACTTGAAAATGTTCATTTTGCACTTTTTAAAGTCGATGCAATTCTGCACGGTTGAGCGCATTCACACTACTTGCAAGACCAGCTCTCTTTGTTGCTGTATTGCTTTTGTTTCCTTCTCTGGTTCTTTCACTACTTCCTTCTATTCCACAGATAGTTCTTGCTGTGTGCCTGAATATAGGCCAAAGTCTTTGAAAAATTCCTTCTGAAATCCTATTCATCCCATTCAATGCCATTTCACCTCAAATATGCAAAACTCTTTCCCTCTGGAAAGTAAATAATCTCTTACTTAGGAGTTTTTAACCAGTGTCACATAAGAGATACATTTTAGGTTAGAGAACACTCTAGGGCGAGTCACTTGGCTCATAAACCCCAATGGCACAGAGGATGCCATTGCTCTTCTGTGGTTTTATGCCCCTCTAAGTTCTCTGTCAACTCCCCATGGATAGTCCAGAAGGATGATAATGGGATCTGACAATCTATTCATTCCGTCTTCTCTGTGTGTCTATGACTTAGGGTAAATGGCATGGGGCAATGGAATTCCTGCCACAGGAGAGCAAATAGAGGGCAACTAACAGCTGGTTAACTGAGGGGCCTTTGTTCTCTGTGCCAGGAGACAGGACATTTCTAAAAGTCCAGTAATGAAGGGGGCAAATGCCAACTGTGGGAGGGAGGCAATAACCGCCTACTGTATTTTCAAAATGAAGCATGGGGAACTTTGTGTTCCTTTAGGTTGTGGTGATTTTTAAGTGCGATAGAGAATTTGGGATCTGCTTAGAGTGATTAGGTCACTCAAGTTGGAGAGCACAGTACTTGGCCCCAGGATTTAGTCCCATGGATTGGCAAACACTGGTTTCAATGTGAGTCGATATGGAATAATGGAAAGAACTCTGGTATTGGGGGAGTCAGAGAATCTGAGCTCTGGAGTGGACCTGTGAATTTGGGTAAGTTTCAACCTGCTGGTCCTTGGAGTATTTATCTGTCAAATGGGAATAACTGCTTTTGAACTATCTACCTCACATGAGGTATTAATGGTCAATGTGCTTAGAAAATTGCCGCATGTTCTATATACATACATGTATCCTTTACATATAAATATAAAGGATTATTATTTCAGTGGGCACTAGTGTTGTAGCTATTGCTATTACTAATACATTCACAATTTTTCCAGATGTATTGTGAATCCCAGTGTCTTTCCTCAGACTCATAGTTTCAACTACTGCTCAACATGCCTTTGAATGTGAGTAAAGCCATATAATTCTGCATTTCTCAAATGATACTTGTTACCTTTTCAAGCTGCTCTTTCTCCTATATTTTGGTTAAGGAATTTGTTGTATTTCTCGTCACTTAAGACAAATCTGGTCTCCCGTTCTCTTCCACTGTCTGTGTCCTGCAAATGGGTGAGACCCATTCATTTGCCTGTTAACTCTGTCTGTTCCTCTCTATTACTGTCTGTGTCCTCAGTTAGGGACCTGGTCACTGTGGATAAAACAGACTTCTTGGTTTAGAATGAATCTCTTGGAATTAGGCAATAGGATTTCCCCCTTTAAAATGTCTACAGAGAGAAAGGGAAAAACAAAGATTGACACTTTGAGGTTCATGCCTCTGATGTAGTGGAAGAGATCCCGAAAGAAGTCAGTGTATATTACAAGTTCAGTGACTAAGCTCAATTTTCTGCAACAAACAATCTAGCAAGTGAAACTCCCCATAACAAAGAGTAAGGCATATGTCTAACCACCAACATGCAAAACAAGCTTGCAATAACCTGGAGATTATGAATTATATTCCATAGGAGAAAACTACAAGCCTCAGCTGTTGGAAACCAAAGCATTACAGGAAATGCTTATTCTTCCTTTTAGAAAATTGGCTAGAATCTCGATTCTATAATGCTCCATGGAGTACTATGGATTTAATCTTGTTCACTACACCCGAGCAATTCTCTTTATTGATCGTGCTTTTGTGGTAATAGATTTGCAAATATTTTCAACTTTCCTTCATATTTTTATGAAAAATCACGATATTTCACCTAGCTCTTTGTAGTCTCAAGGGCTCTTATGCCAACATTGTGAAATGTGCTCTGTGGGTTCAGCCGAAATTTTAATCAAATTTGAATCAAAATTTGGGTGATTTCGGAATCTCCTATTTCCACATAATTTTTTACTGGGCCCTTTAAATGGCCCTTTAAAAAATAAATGTATTGGTTTCCTCTTGCTTCACTTCACCTTTCCTCCAATTCATCCTCCAGATTGACACCAATGATGGTTCTAAAATGCAGATGCAACCAAGGCATTTTGGGAACCCTACAAAGTACTAATGAAGAACCTGAGAATGGCATACACATTCCTCTCTGAGCTTGTCTCCATTGTGCCATTCTTGCCATTTATGTTCTGTGCCTCAGATAGCTCTTGTTCTAGCCTTTTAAATGCTTGCAGTCACCTAGACACACCATGTGGGTTCACGTCTCCACCTTCACCGTGAAGTCCCTCTCTCACTACTTCCTTCTCCAACGCTTCCCATCCTTGTGAAAACAGGCTCCGTTTTTTCTTTTGCATTTTAGAAAATGTTTCAATTTCAAATAATTTCAGACTTAAAAATATCACAAAATAAAGTAGTAAAAAACTTTTCTACTACTTCCTATTTGAGTCCCTGGGTTTCTAAGTGCTATTCAATTATATCTTGCCAGGTATGCTAATAAAGTTTATCCCAAGCATTTCCAATCAAAGCATTCAGGTAAACGCCAACTTCCAAATGTACTTTTCTGGTTAAATAAGTGTCTCAAGAGGAAGACTAAGTCTATTTTTCTATATTTACTGACACGGAAGAGCTACTGTTCTCTTTCCTTTGGGAGGGCGACAAACACAAAGGAATCAGATGTAAATTGGTTCACTCTGCTTTTGCTTGGTACATCAAAATTTTAAACTACAGTGAATTCTGAGAAGTACAGTGACTCATCAAGAGGAGTAAAGAAAATTGCAAAGCGATCTGCCATACTTATACCACCTGTCTTATATTCTGATAGCTTCAGAAAGAGAGAATAAAAAATGGACTGGCTACTTCCAGGAAGGACCAGGCTGTAAGTATCCAGAGGCAGCATAATTTTCTCCAAGACAGAACTATTCCAGTTCTTTTTTTAAAAAAGATTTTATTATTTACTTTTAGAGAGAGGGGAAAGGAGGAAAAAAGAGAGGGAGAGAAACATCAATGTGTAAGAGATACACAGCTGGGGACTTGGCCCACAACTCAGGCATATGCCCTGACTGGAAATCTGACCAATGACCTTTCAGTTCACAGACTGGCATGCAATCCATTGAGCCACACCAGCCAGGACTAGAGCTGTCCCAGTTCTTAAATTTGGGTGTAGTCACTTCATTTTCACTTCTACTGTTTCTTTCATTAAACTACATACCTCACTCTCTTTCAGTCATTATCTCAGTTATGTGTTTCCACTAGACTCTGATATCTAAAGGAATAAGGGTCAAGTCTTAGTCATTTTTCTGTTTTGGCAGCACTTACTATTACAGTGCCTGGCAAAGAGTGGGAATTTAAAATTTGTTGACTGACTGATTGATGAACTAAATTAATAAAGTGTAACAGAAATTAACAAAGGTGACCTTGAAGTTTGTGAAGTATCTTTAGAAGGAATATCTTGGCATTAAAAAAAAAAAGAAGCTCTATTCTTATGGGGACTATTGCTGGGGTATGTTCACTTTCTCTAAGTCTTCTTGGCTGACATCACTATTTACAAGACATTTAAAGAACTACTGGGATGTTTTTGAACTCTGCAAAGTTATTAGCAGATGTAGCACTTGTGAGACCACCTGTCTACCCATCATGCATCTGGAAATGTTGGTAGTTGCATCTGTCAGACACTGGCACCATCCCACCCTGTGAATTTTCAGGCTTCAGCTGCAGGTGTGTTTTTTGTCTGTGGTTTCTGAAGGAGTCTTTCTGTTTAAGAGACTGCATTCTTTTTTTTTTTCACTTTAAAGATACAATTTTTATTCTATTTTTCCATTACCATTTAGTCCCCTTTTCCCCCTTTCCCCCAGCAGTCACTACACTGTTGTCCATGCCCATGTGTCTTTTATCCTTTTTGCTCCATCCCTCCAGTCCCTCCCTAACCTCCCCCACCCACTAGCTGTCATCTGTTCTCCATCTATGAGTCTGTCTCTGTTTTGCTTGTTAGTTCAGTTTGTTCATTAGATTCCACATATGACTACAATCTTAATTAATCCCAATTTATCAACTACATAAATAACCCTAAAACTTTTCATTAAAATAACTATTGGTAAGTCAGAAAGGAGAATTTTTTTGTTTGTTTTAACAGAGCAAGTCTTAAAAAGTAAGCATAAGAACCCATGTTTTTCCTTTTACGTTGATCCTCCATGAGTCTAAACATCCCAGGGGCTCATGTTGGAGCTCTCCCAAGTTTCTTAGCAGAGTACTGGCCACTGGTGGTCTATTCACTTGACACAGGTTAGGGCCCCGGCTCTTCCAGAGACTTGTTAAAAATAGAGACGTCAGGGCTCTTGACTGCGGTCACCAAGGGACAGACTTAACGGGACATTTCAATGTTTCTACCCTCCAAGTTTCTGATTCTTTTCAACATTTTTTATTAATGCCTGAAATTTTACTTTTTTTTTTTTTTCTGTTTTCCACCATCCACTCCCCCACCCCACCCATACCCACCTCAATCCTACCCCTGTTTTGGCTTTGTCCATGTGTCCTTTATACATGTTCCTTGACAACCCTTCCCCCTTTCCTCCCTGTTATCCTCTCCCCCCTCCCCTCTGGTCATTGTCTTTTTGTTCTTTATTTCAATGTCTCTGGTCGTTTGCCTGCTTGTTTGTGTTGTTGATTAGGTTCCGCTTTTCAACATCTTAAAAAGTGAAAAAGAATCTCAGGATAACTTGCCAGAGTTGATCTCTGTGCTTATTATTTCTGACCAATAAAACAAGGTACCTTTCTAATTAAACATTTTTAAAAAATATTTTATTTATTTATTTTTTGAGGGAGGGGAAGGGAAGGAGAAAGAGTGGGAGAGAAATATCAATGTATGGTTGCCTCTCATGCGTCCCCTGCTGGGAACTGGCCTGCAACCCAAGCATGTGCCCTGACTGGGAATCGAACCCCGATACTCTGGTTCGCAGGCCCGCGCTCAATCCACTGAGCTATGCCAGCCAGGGCTTCTAATTAAACATTTTTGATGTCTCTTTCCTTTAACTTCTCCACTTTCTCAGTAAGAGTAAAGTATAAATTTATGTTTCAGTTTTTATCTGTTTAACACTCTGTTGCTATCAGCATCTGATTTTGGTAACATCATAAGGCCTATGGTCTTTGGAGATGAACAGATAAGCATGAGAACAAAACTAATAATAAAAATGAGTACAATTGATCCTTGAACAACACAAGCGTGAAAGGCACCAATGCTTGTGCAGTCGAAAATCTGTGTTTAACTTTTGACTTCTCAAAAACTTAAGTTCTCCCTTTATATTCACAGGGGATTGGTTCCTAAAAACCCATGTGGATACCAAATCCAACATGCTCAAGGCCCCTATATAAAATGGCATATATACCAATGCATACAGTCAGCCCTCTGCAACAACAGGTCAAATACAACACAGGTATTTATTGAAAAAAATCCACATACAAGTTGACTCACACAATCCAAACCCATATTATTCGGGGGTCAACTGTACTTTCTTTCACCTACTGCACAATTCAGATATTTTAAATTTTAACACCTCTGAAACTGGGGTGCCTCTTTCAACTGATGGCATTTTATATTCTGTATGGAGGCAGCAGTTGCAAAGTGGTTGCGTTACCTGTCCAAGCATTCCAAGTGAACGCATGTCAACAGCTTGGAAGGAAATCCTGGAGAAAGGAGAAGAGCAGTCTTAACTGCTAGACACCAACAGTTGTTCTGAGTATTGGCAATATTTCTAGAGACAGAGTCAAGAAAGAGTATCTCTCCATAAATGTAAAACCATGTTGAGACATTCAGAAAAGCCTTGTCATGATATTTGGGTTATTTTAGGGAGTGTTTCATCACTAGCCCTTTTCAGCGTACAGACGGGGACTTTGTGTGGAAGAGCATAGAAATCAATAACTCTTTGTGCAGAAGTGATAAAGATTAGGACTCTGAATTTTGAAGAAGTTGCAGAAATACCTAAACCAATTCATTTCACTTATATTTTATTTTTATATATGCAAAAAGTTAATTTATGATAAAAAAAATCTGTCTAATTAAGCCAAAAGCATTCTTCCAATAAATGTAGTAGAAATTTTTAAGTGATAAGAAAGCCTTAGGTTATAGTTTAATTCACAGAACTTTTTCTCCTTTCTTTCTTAGTGATATCAAAATAATGGAGCTTCTTATAACTGATGGACTCATTCTATGAAATGAAATTATGACAATCTAGAACTTACTACTTCTTTCTACATGTCAGCCATCTTTCAAGAATGTCATGTACAAGCTCTGCCCAGAAAAAGTTCAACCATTGTTTATATATCAAGAGGAATGGTTAGTGCAACATTGATGTAAACTGTCTGCCAAGAAGAGTGGACTGGAATGCGCATAGTTGAACAACGATGACTTCAATGTACTAGTCAGTGGGGGTGGTAGATGCCATTGAGTGAGTATGTGTACTGTGTGGTTGTCACATTCAAAATGGTTGAGCGAGTAGAGCAATGAATCTGCAACCAATTTTGCAGTAAGCTTGAATAGTCCTCTGCAGAAACTATTTGTATGATTCAGAAGGCCACAGCTATAGGCAGCTGGTAATTGGCAGCTTCATTATGACATTGTACCTGCTCATGCATCGCATTTTGTGCAGAGTTTTTGGCGAAAAATCAGATCACCCAGGTGACTCAGCCCTCCTACAGCCCAGATTTGGTGCTCTGTGACTTCTGGCTTTTTCCAAAACTAGAATCACCTTTGAAAGGGAAGAGATTTCAAACCATTGATGAGATTCAGGAAAATATGATGGGGTAGCTAATAGTGACTGGGAGAGCTATGTGAGATTCTAAGGTGCCTACTTTGAAGGGGACTGAGGTGTCATTGTCCTATGTACAATTTTCTTCGATAGATGTCTCTATTTTTCATAGTACATGGCTGGATACTTTATGGACATACCTCATATATGAATTCATTTAATTCTGACAAAACCCAATGAGATAGTTGCTTTTGCTATTCTCATTGTAGAGGAAAGGTGTGAAGTCACAGATGTGTGACTCTGACTCTTGACTGCTTTCTAGATTTGTGACCCAGGACACTCTGACACTCAGTTCCTCATGTGCAAAATGCACATCATAAAGCCCACCTCACAACACTGCTGTAAAAATTGAATTAGATGATATTGAACTAGGGCTCTACCATTATAGCTCATTTAACCTAGATAATCTATTTAAAGCCTCTATCTCCAAATACAGTCACTTCGGGGCTTAGGACTTTAGTATGTGAATTTGGGGGGACACAGTCCAGCCTGTAACAATGGGGGCGAGTGGGGCCCTGGTGAGCTGGAGAGCAAGGCCCTGTTCTTCAGAAGAAGAGTGGCCACTACTCGGCCTCTATCAGTCACTACCACAGGGAAGGAAGGCCTGGCACGGTCAGGGTGCAATTTCCCATTCACACTTGGAATGCAAATTTTTAAGGACAATCTTCCAGTTTTAAAAACTTTCTGGGTGACAAAGGTGAAAGGATGAAGAAAAAACAAAAACAAAGAACCCCCAACTCACAGACAACAGCATGGTGATTAGCAGAGAGAAAGGGAGGTGGGGAGAGGTGGGAGAAGGTAAAGGGGGGTAAATGGTGATGGAAGAAGACCTGAAGAGGTAAACACACAATAAAGTACACAGGATGATGTGTCACAGAATTGTACTCCTGAAACCGATATAGTTTTATTAACCAATGTCACTCTAATAAATTCAATTTAAAAACTTAAATTAATAAAGACTGGCACCTTCTTAAAAGCTATGCTGTCTGGGGCTGGTTGCCTGTTTGTACAGTCTGGGTGAGGCAGGCAGTAACAGCAGATTTTCCATGATGGCTTACTCCTGCTCTTCCTCCTCCTCCCCCACCCTCCCTCCGTCCCTAGGTGCTGTCTCAGCAGAAATGCTCATGGAGAGTTCGGGTTGCACTGAAGCAGAGACCCAGGGGCCAGAAGTCATTTCCTTGTCATGCATTATTTCTTGAGTCCCTGAGATAGAGCGTGTCAAGTTTTCAGAAGTCAGCTGTCCTTCAACAAACTTATAAATGGTAATTGGTTCCACTAAGATAGAAACGTTTAACTATATTCAAAGAATCAATAGCCTCGGTCAATTATTAAAGTAGGTTAAGAGCTACTGAGTGTCCAAGGAGTGATGCCATACAGTCAGTGATCCATACACTGCTTTAATTATAATTGGTCTAGGTCCTCAGAGCACAGAGTGCTCTCTGCATGAAGTGTGTAATGACTCCCTAACAATGAAAAGCAGTGTGAATATACAGGGATAGAAGAAAGAAGCAAGTGATTAAAAGAGAAAAATAGCTGATCACAGAAAATGGTCCTTCAAAGAATCCTAAGTGCCTGAGTCCCAGAATTTCAGAGTTTCCAGTACCAGAAGTTCAAGGAGGTGGGCCGACAGGCAGCAGTCTGAAATGTGCACAAGACAAGGTGGCACGTGTCCTGTCAAGGATGTTGGTCATAGTAATGTGGCAGGCAATTTGGATACGGATCCAGGAATTGAACTTGGGTAGTCTAACTCCTAATGCGTGCCCTTAGTTATAAGGAGCTTCTACACAAGGATTCAAAGACCATTTTGAGTTCTTGCAGGTACGTGAGAAAGAAGATGAAGATATTTGTTGAGCAAGCAGAAAAAGCAGAGTAAGTCCAAGAGAGAGTGAAGATTATAGATAAGGGGCGGTGAATGAGCTGACCAGCCTGCTCTCTTCCTTGCGCCAGAACTGAGTCAAATCATGGCTCTTTTGAGGATGTTTTTCATATTTGATGAAAAAAATAGAGGATTACCTACAATCAGACACCCCGTGTCCAAAAATCAAGATTTTGTTGAAAGGATGGGCCTGTGACACTTGGTGTTTGACTACCTGACAACTGCAGAGATCCACGATCTCCCTTGGGGATTCAGAACTGTGAGAGTCGAGCAAGTATGAGGGAGCTTGGCCTGGTGAGGGGGATGAGTGCTGCAAGGGGGCTCGGCTGCGGGAAGGGGGAACCTAGTCCTCGGGCAGAGGGTTAGGAGAGGGGAATTGGAGGGCACCGCCACTTGTCACGTTTTGGTTACTGCACTGCAATGATAGGTTCTTGCTTTAAAATCTAGCCCCAAAGCTTTAACAGTGGGAACATACCACTTGCTGCTGTATATCTCATTGTGGAATTTCCTTTAGGAACATCAGACTTGCTTAATTCTGCAGGCACACCTCTCATCTCTCCCCTTCTCACACCCTAGTCCAGCTGAAGTTATCTCTTTGGACTTTCCTGGGCATGCCATGCTCTTTTGTACCTGGAGTTTTGCCACTTGTTCTTTCTGCATGGGACAGATTTGACAAGTTCTCAGTCCTTTAAGACTAAGCTTATCTATTAACTCCTCTGAGAAGCTTTTTCCTCATTTATTCATTCATTCACACACTCACCAAATATTTACTGAGGACTCACTCTGTGCTAGAAGCTACTACATGCCTAGGAATGGGTTTTATGCCAGCCCCTAGGATGTCCCATAGCACCACCCGTGCTTAGCTCTGTACACTTGTCGCATTGTATTGCATTTGTTTTTCATGCAAAATGTCTTCCACTAGACTGAGAGTACCACCTAAGCAAAATCAATGTCCTATTTGTAGTTTTGTTGTACTACCCAGCTCAATGCTTGACGTACGAAAACAATGTTCAGAAAATATCTCTAGAGTGAATGGATGAATGAACTATTTCTTCTCAAATTCTTTCTTCCCTCTTAGAACACAAAACAGTCAAATTAGATTCAGAATTAACCTGAAAACATTTTTGTTGTGCAATTAGGTTCTCAGAGCCCCTTTATCGCAGCAGAATCCTGACCTTCAGAACCGCTAACCAGGTCTTCTCGGAGGAACTGACCTCTCCGGCTCTGATGAGCACAAAAGATAGAAAGCTAAAGCTTCCTTAACATGACCTTAGGTCCCTTTTCTTACTGTAATTTATCTTAAAAAAGAACCGACAAAGCCAATTTCAGGGTGAGGAAGTGTACAACTGTGCACACACACTGAAGACGGGGATATATTCCCTGCACGGAATCTCCCTTTTTCCATTTGGGAGCCTTATTCCATGTTGTTAAATAGTCATCTGGTTTCTGGGGGGATAAGTTTGATTTACAGCCAGTGCTGAGTTGCTGCCCTACCTCCTTAGCTGGTCTTGGCATCATCACAGAAAACATATGGTAAAACGCAATAAATATTTGTTGAATTGAATTTCGGTGGTAAGAGAAATGAACCCCATAAAGTCCCACAAAGCCACATTGGTCGGGAGCTCTGCTGGTATTCAATCAGTTTAGAACTCTCGGGACTAGAACATGATGGATACAAATTGGCCACAGAAATCCCTTGCTATGTGTTTTCCTCACTGTCTTTTTCTTCTTTATCTCTAGCCACAGAGACAAATCTTATAAGGTAATAAAATGAAGATATTTCTATGGGCTACATGTAAATCACTCTGTTGCCCTAGAATTTGGTGGTAGTTTGGGAGCTGACCCAATAATGTAATATTGTGTACATTACAAAGCATTGAGTGAATGCCCCTGGGCTGACTGTGGTTCTTGGGAATGAGCTATAGTGTTCCAAGTCATGCTATTTTCAAAAATTACTTAGGAAAATCAACCGATGCTAGTTTGTCTCTTCTACCCTCCATCTTTTAGTTCCCCACGTATTTATTTCTGTACATTTTCCCCCAGGTTCAGCTCCTTACTTATAGACCCAGAGAGTGGCAAAGAGCCTCCCAAACCAGCAAGTCCAGGGGTTTATATACAGGGTGGGGCAAAAGTGGATTTACAGTTCTGAGTATGCAAAATACAGTTGATGCTAGTATTATTTTGATTAGTTATTGTATTGTTTTCTATATAAACAACTGTAAACCCACTTTTGCCCCATCTTGTACTTCATTTTGAGGGGCCCAGGGCTCCATGGAGGATTATCCAGGGAAAGAATAGATAGACTGAGCAATCTCAACTCTAAATTCCAACAATGCCACTTGGGTTCACTGAATCCAACGGGGTTACACGGAAGTGTCTTGTAAAACATTTCTAGTGCTAAAAGAATGTTCAGAAACCATTAATTGTTGTAATCTTTGTGTTGTAGATGAAATAGCACCAGAGGACAAATGGCTGGCTGAGGGCCACACAGAACATAGAGTGAGACACAGTGCAAACTTCAGGCTCAAAGGCAAGGCAGCTGAGTTCTCAGAGTGTCATGCCTCTGGCCTCCACCCCTCTCAGGAAAAGGAGCTTTTATTTAGTGGGTTTTGCCTTGGGAATGTCACACTTCCAAATTTCTGAATCTATTCATTTAGGATGAGATGCTCACAGTTGGGCGGATTTTCTAAGACACTACTGAATACACCAATAATAGAGAAATTCCTCAGTCATAAAATGGCAGAAAGTATGGGCAGCACTGAAGTTGAGAGTCAGTTCGAGAAAGTGCACCACCACCTGGGGAGGGAATATCCAAAGCAGACACTGAGTGGACAAGAAAACTGGAAAGCCGGCTGCATGAATGGCACGGGAGTTCTGGGCCAAAACACAAAATAAACAGACTCTGGGATGGGCCACAGGAAGACACCAAGTCACAGCATATTGAAGGGACCGTCCCTCTTGTCTTCGTAACACTGCTCTTAGAGAAAAGTCTGTTCCATTTTGTTAGCTCCGCAGCCAAGGACAGAGGCGAACTGGAGGAAGTTCTGGTGCAGCAATGAATGGGATGAATAATTGGCTTCTGGGGAAAAAGGTAAAAGTGTGTAATGCTTTTGAGGGACTGTCCTAATAGTTTTCCATTACAATGCTAGAAATCAAAGGCACCAAATGGGGAGTTAAATTACTTGGGTGTGCTGAGGTTTAGTGGAAAATGATTGCATACAGTTAAGAATATTGGAAGACAGGTTAAACTGGGGGATAAAGTTCTAGTAGAGAGAATCAATTTATCAGCAAATTGAATTACCGTGCCAGAAGTCAGAGCAAATTACTATAAAGTATAAGATATGTATCTCCCCTCATGAATTCCGGTTATGAGATGCCTCCATCCTTTTTTCTTTTCCCCCCTCTCCCAACAGTCTGTTCTTACCTGGGGGTGTCTGTACCAGTTTCTTCTGTATAGATTAGTAGTTGTCTTCCTCTGCTCCCCTCTCAAGATCTTTGAATGATGGGCTTCTCCTTACTATTTAAGTATCATGTCTCAGCTACAATGTCACCTCCCCCTTTTTAAAAACAAGACTTTGAGTGGTTAAGTAACTTGACAACTATCACACAGTGTCTTACTCCAGAACCTAAGCTTCCCCATCTCAGTACTGCTTTATTAAGTAAGAAATATATATGTCAATTAAGGGAAAAACAGTTTACTGATATCACAGGAGACAGAGATGTAAAGCATCTCCATCTTAAAGTCTATGCAAGGTCAACTGGTAAGAAAGTGCCTGGTGAAAATAAGCCACCATTTGGGGTATTGTGAAGAAATACCCCGAATGGTAAATAGACAAAACCTTGTGAGGGCCACCAGTTTATAGAATGCCAAATAGATGGGCTTT